CCAGCGCGGCGCGCAGATCCTCCAGCAGCGCTGAAAAGTCGCGCCGCTGCCGGGCGCCGTCCGGGAACTCCCAGTCCATGTGCAGCGCGTCGAAGCCGAAGGTGTCGAGCGCGGCGGCGGCGCTGCGCGCGAAGGTGCGCCGCCGGTCGGCGTCGGGCGGCCATTGCGGCGTAGTCGGTCTTGCGCGAGTCATTCCAGCCGCCGACGGCGAGTTCGGCGCGCAGGCGCGGGTTGCGCCTCTTCAGCCCGGTGAACTGCCGGTAGAAGAGCAGCTCGTCCGGCCGTGAGTGCAGCAGAGCGGAGGTGGCCGGGTCCAGCAGGGCAAAGGCGAAGATGTATGAGGTGCACAGTGAGGGCTCCAGCCGGTCCACCGTCACGCGACCGTCGCCTGAAAGAGCAATAATAGAGGGGCGAGTGAGACCGAGGCTGCGAGCAGGACGACGGGGGATGGGCCCGCCAGGGACCTGACACACCGCTGTCAGGAGGGCGGCGCCAGGCACTGGCATGAGGTCGCCTGGACGTTTTTGGCCTTGTGAGAGGCGCTTCACTGGGTTAGGCGCCTGGCCCGAGTTCCACAAAACCGTTTGGGTTAAAGTGTATATTTGTAGAGATAACTTGCCTATATATGGGGTACACTAATATGGGAGCAACGACGCGTCCACGGCCCAGTTGACAACATCCAGGCGGGCCCGCCATTTTGCATCCTGTAGTGAACGCATTCACGACACCGGACGTGGCCTTTAACGAGCAACGGAGGCCGCCGACCTCGGCGCTGGAGCGCGCAGCCGGGCTGGCACGGCAGCTCCGACCGAGACCACTGCGGGGCGCGGCGGGCAGCTGCGGTCTCACCTCCCCTGAGCCTCGCCCACGAGCCGTAGAAGCAGGCCAGCTCCCTGTCGGCGGCCCAGGCGGCCCCGAGCGGCGCCAGCAGCAGCAGCACCCGCAGAGACAGCGCCATCCCGCTAGCCCGAGCATCGGCGACTGACGACCGCCGGCTGCGGCCCACCGAGCGCGGGCTACCGCGATGGTGGCGCCGTACGGCGGCGGCGGCTGCAGTCATCACGCCGGCGCGTGGTTGAAGGTTATTCCACCAAGCAGTAGAAATATCGTAGGTGCACTGATAAATGTCATGCGAGTTTCAATCTTCGGTCAGACACAGTGCAGAGCGCATGGCACAAGACATCATAGTCATTTCACCGAGAGGTTTTTTATTGTCTGAGAAAATGAGCTAAAAATCAGGACAAACATAGATACTGCGATCAGAGGCTATCCTAATGCAAAATTCCGTTACTCCACGGTCTTTTTCTGTCGATTTGATGCCGCCGATCATTTCACACGATCGGGCAAAAGAAGAGCCAAGAAAACACCTCACTAAAAACGGGATCGAAAAGCATCTAGTTATTGTAAAACCTTCGTTTGAGATAATTCGTTGCGAGTGACTGCGCCATAGTTGTCAAAAGACGAAAAATATGACTGCAGCTAAATAGGTCACACTCAGCAGTTCTTTCAACAACGGCGGAACATCCATAGCATTCGAGTGAGATTTCAGCCATTCGAGTAAGGAAATGAAAGCTGGAATGCTTCAGTAGTCCGAAAGCAGCGTCTTATTGACAGGCGTGACCCGGCGCGTAAGTCTGGCCGCATTAGGTCTCGTGGGTTTTTGGGCTCGGACTCAAGGGAAAGGCTCGATTTGCAGTTAGTTAAATCGGGCTCAGAACCAGACCACTGCCTCAGCATTTGAAAGACAGTGATCCTTGGGTTTAGCCTCAAAACGTCGGGACTCTGGCTCGGATCCATAGTTGGCTTTTCATTCAAGTCGCGACCGTGGTTGACGCCACATTTTGGGAGAAAAACAGAATGACCCAAAAATGATGTGTTTTGATCATATGGGTAATGCATGTTCGAGCAGGGCAGCTACCTTACATTAAGCGGCTCATGTCCGATTTGGCCGGTTCCCGTTGAGTGCCGCTGGGTTTAGTTAGGATGAATCGGCTCGGGGCGTAAGATCTTAAATCGGCCTCTAAAACCTGGTGGCGGCTTCTTTCCTATGCCTACAGTTCGATGACTTTCAACTAATACTTGGATTGAGTGTTTAGAATTTCTTCTCATTATCTCAGTCCAGACTAGAGTCCGGTCCATCCACCAATCCGGTCAATGAATCAGTTCCCTGTCAGCTTCGCCAGGAGCCGGTCCAGGGAACGAAAAACAGCTCGCTTCTCATGTCTGGCCCGTTCGTACAACGGGACTATCGAGGAGCGCATCCTCCAACGACACGCAAGCTGTCTGCTGCCGACACAGCTGTCCGTGAGAGCCAGTCGGCAGTGACACCAACCCACACAGGCCGAGCTGCGGCTTGGCATATATCAGCGTGGTGCAGCGCGACGTTGATGACAGCTGGCCCGCAGCACACAGCCAATATTGCATCAACGAACAACAGCTAGGCCGCAGTACATAGTTAGAGCTACATCACTGAAAGACAGCTGAGCCGCAGTAAATACTTAGTGCTACATCACTGAACGACAGCTGGACCGCAGCACAGTCAGCGCGTTCATTACTGAACGACAGCTGGGCCGCGGTACAAAGTCAATGCTACATTACTGAAAGACAGCTGGGTCGCTGCACACAGTCGGTGATACGTTATTGAACGACATCTGGGTGGCAGCCCACCGTTTCAGCATAACCCCGACAACGCCCAGCTGTCTTCACTGTGAATACCTGAACGTCAAGGTAATGAACTACTTAACCTGCACACCAAATGCAGGTATTGGTCTTCGGAGTGGCCTCGTCTCCCGGCTCTAGCGCGCCGCGAAAATTGCCGAAGGTCAGCCTAGCCAGTACCCCGCTGTTTCTACCCAGTGAAAATCGCTTGGGTGTGTGCGTGACATCCTGTTCGTCGGTACTGCACGGGATTGCAAAAAATCTGGCATTTTGGTCAGCTTTAGTTGTAGTAAGGACTATTCAAATCTGAATTGACCATGCGACAGGCAAACTAGGTACTCTGCGTGCTTTCGTCCCCCATCCACGCCTCAGCAGTATGCGACTCTCTCTCTCTCTCTCTCTCTCTCTCTCTCTCTCCTCTCTCTCTCTCTCATCTCTCTTCCTCGTCTCTCTCTCTCTCTCTCTCTCTCTCTCTCTCTCTCTCCTGTGACTCAGCCCAGCCATTTGGAGTGAGCTGTGCCTGCACGGTTACTCGATTTATGATCCAATGCCGTCTCAAACGTCCGTAAACGTCCCGTCGGGCCACAATATGGCACCAGCTGAGGATGATCGGGCGCGCCGCCGCCGGAGCCGACGGCATCGTTACCAGCCTCGGACGACATCAGAGCTGCGACAGCACTGTTAAAGCCAGCCTCTTGCCGACTACGCCTGTCATGTTTCGAGATACCAAATTCAAGTTTGATGTGATATTTCAATCTGTTCGTGTCGATCGGTTTCCCTGATGATGAAAATCTCCGTTTCCGTTACTCTCCGACAACAGCACCTTTAATCTCACAACATGTGACATGGTCGGTGACTGTTTCCGCACGTATATCACTGAGAAAGCGCAGAAGGTACAACCGAGCACCGCCTCTTTCGCATATCCAGCTTTTGCTTCTATCGCGCGCTAAGCCAAGCCTAAAGGCAGAGCCACGTGGGGATGCATTCGGAAGGCTGTGATAACTTACCAGCACGTATAACTGTTGGGTCATTTATCTTGCAGTCACAGAGTCCCCGCCTGAGACCGGAGCCTGTGTTTCAAAACATCGTGTGCTTGTTTCTTATAATCCTCCTCTCCTCCTCCTCCTAAACGTCCTTCTCGCAATCCAATCAAGGCCATACATTCATGGCTGATGGGTGAGTGCACGTGCGATGTGAAGTATGCGTCATTCATGACGTCATAGACATTACAACATTATGGAAAAGATTCTGAGTTGTGGGTATTATTACACTTCCCACGGGACTGCTATTACCCAAGGCTCGTTTAAACTGAACACAAATCCAATATAACTATGAACATGATTTACACCATCTGAGCGAGCACCGTCCTTCTCAAAGGCGTTGTTCGCACGCTTCGCTACACGTGCTATGATCAAAAGCGTTGTGTGGTCTGATCAGGTTTATTCGATGCACGTAAGAACAGTAAGGCATATGAGAGTACACGCTGTTAGTGCCGCCGAAATCGGAGAAACGCCCGACCTATTTTGGTGGGTTTTATAAACAGAGGACGGTACACATCAAAAATCGCCGTGCATTGTCAAATCAACGGTCCGTTTACAAAGCGCATGGCTTGCCATGACCTGTAGAAAAGTATGATTCTATCTGACGCACATTCCGGGCCCGTGCATAACGACAGGTAACAACAAGTTATATAACGCCAACATTCACGCTCTCAGCACAAGAAACGACCCATTATTGACATCAGTTCCCTTGGCAATGCAGCGAACATGTTACGTTCCAATTTGCTGTAGCTGCCAGCAACAGCCTTCATTCAGGTGAAAGCATTGGTAGGGATCAGAGGCTTTGGCCTGCATTTACCTTTCCATGAATGTTTTGCGGTTATTTCATCTCTAAAACAAGGCAAAATGTGTCTCTTAAAGTATGCCTCAGCATCAACAGATGCAGCACGGCAAAACTATTGTCTAATGCGATATTTTGCTAAGCAGAGCTTTTTGAAATTTTACGACCAAAAATATTGCCATGTTCAGAAGTTTCTTTGTGCAAACGGCCCGACTAGAAAGTACCATTATACTCCTAAGTGTAAATTAAGACTCCAGCTATTTTGGCAACGCAACCAGCAAACGTTCAGTAAATAAAAGATGAAATACGGGTCTGGAGGAGATGGCCCACCTTCCTGCGACTTTAACTCAACACGACTGTTGTCCCAGTGGTCCCGATCCCTTTGAAACGCTTCTATCCATGCGATGCCAGGTTGATGTTACATTAAACTCCACAAACGATGGCGCCTTAGTCCTCGTTATTTCTCCACCCTTACGGCGGAAGCCATGGTTGCCACACAAACATCACCTGGAGCATATCCACAGCACGGCTCATCCAACTCACGCCGATCCCGAGAAGGGATGTACCACAGTAAACATTGTACAACCAACACCCCGCAGTCTCCGTTGAGGTTCCGCCCTGGGTGATGTCCGGTGGTCCCTGTCCGCTCTCGCAGCGTCGCACGATCCTACTGTTGTCACGCACTACTCTTCCAGCTCCCGCGGACCACTGCCCTCCGTGCAATCTCTCGCCAAGCCCAGGGTCCACACCCGCACCGCGGCTGTGAAGGGTGGTGTTGCCAGGCCGACACCCCACACCACTGGCAACATCCACACCAGCGCCAGAGTCGACCGTCCCGACGCCGCCCGCCGGCTCTACACGTGCAGTTCTGAAAGCCGTTCTTGCGAGCTGCACCGGCTGGCGGCGTCGGCTGGCCTCTGCACGGGCCGGCTCGGGTTCCGCGGCAGCGGGGCGGCCACCAGCACGTGTCGCTGCACGAGCGGCACGGCGTCAGGCGGCCGGCCGCCGCGTGGCGGTGGCGGTGGCCGGGGCACGGCGCGCACACAGGCGGCCTCCAGCAGCGCCGCCGGCGGCCGGTCGGCGAACTGCGGCGGCGGCATCGCCGTCCGCGGGCTGTGAGCGCTGCCATCGCGCTTTGGCGCTCGGCTGCCAGGTGGCAGGCCGTTCTCGGCGCGCCGTCGCCACTCGACGCGGCCCTTCTCGCGCTGGTAGTACACCCCGGCCAGTATGAGGATGTTGAGCACGAGCAGCGAGCAGCCGATGGCCACTGTCACGCTCAGCGCCGTGCTGTACACAGAGAAGGCGCCTGGCTGCGGCGGAGGCGGCGGCGGCGGCGGCGGCGGCGGCGCCACCGTTGCGCCCCCGGCAACGCCCACGCTGCCGTCCAGTACGGCGCTGGCGTTGGTGTCGCTGGCGGCGGTGGTGGCGGCCGGCGGCAGCGGCCGCCAGGTGGCCGGCACGGGGCGCACAGAGTCCAGGTACAGGTGCGGCCGCGGACCGTCGTCGAAGAGGTGGTGCTCTGCCTCGGGCCGGCCGGCGCCGCCTCGGCGGTGGATGCCCGGCAGCAGGTCGAGCCAGAGCGCCACCTGGCGCGGCCGGTAGTGCCCCAGCACGCGCGGCGTCCCACCTGGCGACACGCGCGGGCACCGGATCAGCAGGGTCAGGCGCCGGGTCAGTGGGAACTCATGGCACCTCACGCCGTTGTCGACGCCTTGCCAGGGGCGCTTCTCTGGGACGGAGGGGAGGGGCTATCTCAGTTACAAATGCCTCCTGCTGTCTCATTTGTCCCGTACTTTGTCCCAAACGGATGAAAACAAGTCGACATAGGCATGCCCTGGGATCAATGAGCGCTGAGCAGAAATTGGGGAGGGGCTATTATGCCAATTATAAGGTCGTGCGCCTCCCATAAAGTAACGCCAAAAACTATAGTTGCACCCGATCACGCTCTTGTTGCGACTTCATTTCAAAAGCAAGCCTTATTTCTGTCTAATTTACGCCATATTATATATAAGGACGCTATTTATAAACGGCCAGAGCTCCAGGCAAGTCAGGTGCGCTGAGATCACACGTGGTCAGAAAAGACGTCGCCAAAGTGACCGCCCATGGAAAAGGTTTAGCCAGGAAGGTATTTGTAGGGATTGCTGGGCGTAAACATTTCATGCTTCTTGCAGCTACGACGAAGTCGAACATAAATGCTATTTGTACACCGAAAATATAAGTGCTATGTGACTTTCTAAAATGGTAGGGAATACAAAGTTGAACTTCCCAAATGGTTGAGACTTCAATATCTGAACTGACGCCCCAATGGGACCAAAACTGCCGGAGGCGCGTGGGATCTCTGCAAATCCGATAACCTTGCTGCCTGTTAGAAATAACAGAAAGATGGGACATTTTTTGCGTTTCATAGGTAAATTGTGCTTTTTTTAGAAAGTGCAACATGCGAGATATGTTGAGAATTGTGCCGGGAGACAATAAAAAAGCACAATCAGTCCAGCTTTACCTTATTTGTTTTCAAATACTGACAGACCATTCCAGGTGCACTTGCTGACATCAGCGCGCAACGAAAACGCAGAGCGATGCCTGCTTTGAGCACAGTTAGGTTGAACGACTATCTCGTCCGCAGCTTAGAGTGTATGTCGAAAACTTAAAACACACACGAACACACACACACACACACACACACACACACACACACACACACACACACACACACACACACACACACACACACACACACACACACACACACACCACACACACAAATGTCTCGGTTACCGAATGGTTACATTGACAATGCTGATATCACCAAACATCATACCCTCTCGCCAGGCGTGCTCCTAGACTTACCTAGCGCCATGTATTTCTTGTACTGATGCTCATATGGGCTCCAAATTATTTTTCTGTAACGTTCCCCGCTATCGCCTCCGAAGAACACATCCTTGGGCTTGTTGGGATCCCTGTGAAATGTTTACTGGTCAACGTGTTTTAGGCGCACAACAGTCAAATGCAATAGAAATGAGCGTGCTCTTTTTGTCGGCTTGGCACCGGCTTCTAGGTCAAAACCAACCAACGTAGTTATCATTATTGAAACAAATCATTGCTGTTGGACACAACGTGTATCTTTGGAAGGACGGTAGGGCCATTGCTTGATACGGCCGAAAGAGCGCGGTTCGTTATACTACGTCATTACATAATTACTATCCACAGTCACGTGCACTTATCAAACCCAGCAGGCGGTTATACGCCGTGAAAAAGTATTTTTAGCTAGATCACTGAAAGCGTTGGCCCACTCATGACCACAACAAGACACATGAGACGTATCGGCCAGAACCTCGCTTTTCCAATCCGAATAGTTTTGAATCCCTTTTTGAGCATATGCAAGATAATATGTAACGAGGCTTGGTGCCATTTTTTATAGAGGGCAGTTTAATATCTCTTCACCCTGCATCTTGAAGCAGTGAAGTTATAGCTTGACTGATTCACCGAAGTTGTTCACCCAAAATCGTCTAAGATCATTGATAATCTGTTATTTCAGTAGGTCTTCCTTCAACACTGGGATACACGCGAAGTGGGGCTTATGTAACGTGACACCAATGGATGTCTCACGGCAGCGACATAAGTGACGCGAAATTTGCGCCAGGCGCATGGCCTCATTTGTTTCCATTTCGGCAGCTCTGCAGAACAATTGATGTCGATGTCATGAGCCAAAATGGGACCCATCATACGTTAAAGCGCACATATTGCTTTGGAGTGCCAGGAGGCTGGCAACCGCAGAGACCTTCATTCTACTATATATATATATATATATATATATATATATATATATATATATATATATATACACACGTATGCACATATATGTATTTCGCTCAATTACTAATAACGTGCATATCAGTTGCGGTCATAAGGACGGCGTCATTATCACCAGAGGCTCAGCCGGCGGCTTTCACGGTGACAGCACTGCGTGTCATTCCATAATCTGGTGATGAAGAGCATAATTTTGTTTTTAATTACCATCGACCACAATGGGCAGTAATGCGCCACGCTCAGCAGCAAAACTTTAGAGACAAGACCAGCGAATATTTGCGTGGATGTGCACGGTGCACAGCTGAGACGATTTCTTTTGATAACGGGCGACACCAACGTGAACAGCCAAATCAGACATCAGTTACCATGCCTATCAGTGTTTGTGCCGTCTTTAATCCGTTCGCAGAGCTTAGATGCTTAGATGCTGAATGGCCTGGGGTTTGGTCCTTGGACTCTAGCTTCTTCCCCTCGCCAATGTTGACCGCATCTCTCGGCAAGATGCGTGTTACCACCCCGGCTGCAACAGTGCTGCCTGCGTCTGTTACCGGCTGCAACAGTGCTGCCTGCGTCTGTTACCCGGACTTGGCGAAGTTGGTCCAGTAGGTGACGGCGGCCTCGGAGAGTGCGCGGTCCTCTGCCGACCACAGGCCGGTCAGGTGTCCCGGCCGATGCACGAGCGGCTCGCCGAACACGTACGGCAGCTCACCTCCGTATGACTGCCGGGAGCCCTGCGGCGCACGTGGAGCCGTCACGTCAGGGCGCAGCGCGACCTGGTGTGGGTACAGAGCCGTCAGGTCAGAGATCAGGCTCAGACCTCTGGCGCATCGCAATTGAAGGGGTGGGGAAGACCAGGGCAGCATGAGGTGCTCAGCCGTCGTGGTATGTGAGCGACGAGATGATCTGGGAAATGGAAACCCCTGTGCAATTTATGTGTTTGTCATTTGTCAACACGTTACCACGCTACCATGACAAACCAGTGACGTATTTCAAGAATTTTGTTTGAAGGCCAGTCAGGTAGCTTTATGTTATATTTAGCGCTACAGTTTCGTTAGTTAACATTTTCACCAGAACTAACGTGTTACCAGTTACAACAAATAAGTAGCACATGTGGCTTAGAAACCAGAGTAAAAATTACCCAGCACTGTAAGATTCTGAATAGACCAGGGGAAGAAATACGGCAAAATCCATTGTCAGCAAAATATACAGATGCGCGATCGTAACCATATGCTAACAAGTCCGGAGGTCACCAGCATGAGTTTTCCACATCTGACGAAAAACCGTAGCACTCTCGCAAACGCATCCCGACCAGCAGCGCCACAGGGATTTCCAACCGGTGTGTTGATGTGTGTTTTCAAAAACACACCCGCGCGCGAAGTTGATCAAGAATCTTCTGTCTTTTACCTCCTCTTCTCTGATTCTGTTCTATCCCCACCCTCGATCCCATCTCCCAGAAATGTACTCTGGAACCGCCGCGTAGCAGCTTAGACAACGGCAAGGTCGGTAGCGAGTACAGATCCCTTACAAGCCAGAGTATCCCCTCCCCCTCCCATACGGTAGTGGTTCAGCTCAGCCGGAGTGGGGGGCTCTAGCAACTTAATACGGACCAAAACAATCATATCAGCCACGGAACTTTCAGGGAAATTTGCCACCCTTCATCAGCGTATGGAGCTAGTAAGGGAGATAAATGTCAGACCCCAAAGTGCCTAAGCCGTTACAGCGATAAAAGAGTACCAACACGTCACCTAGATACCAAATACGGCACAAACACACATACTCTTCATCTGATAAATATTCCTGCGAGTTCAAAACGGATGCACAGGCGCTGAGCAGGGTGGCGTGAAGAAAGGGCGCTGTTATCACAGTGGTGGCACAAGGCTGGTACAGTGCGGACGGAGAGTGGGGAAGGGGGGGGGGGGGGGCGGGAAGATCCCGTTCACGTTTGCGTTATTTGGTGAGGTGAGAATGGTCTCGCGAAGGCTGACGGCGCGGATACCGGCCGGTTTCGGTAGGATGCGAATTTGCGGACCGGATCCTCGTGCCAGGATCTCAGCATGGCCGAATGTTGGAATGCAGCCCCGTGCACTGACAGAGACTGATGCCTCCGTTTTCGTTCTAGCCCCTCTCTCCCCAGTTTCCTTAACCACCTGTTTGCAGGCCTAGATCCACCACGTCCAGGCATAAATCACCGGTGAGCTGTCGCTGTGCAAGAACAGTTGATCAGACAGACGCTGCAGCTTTTCTGCGCCTTAGGCAGCTTGTGCTTGGTTTTGCCGCGCAGTTATGACGTCACAGTGAGGTGAGGTACGTAAACTAGCTGAAGCCGATGGAACTGGAGACGCACCTCAGCTGGGAGAAGCAGATGTCGGGGAAAAGAGAGGGAAGAGGCATGAGCTGCAAGTCGGCTGGGTTTTTTTGGGGGGAGAGGGGGGGGGGGCGCACTCATTCCGCGTCAGGTTTCATTGTGCCCTTGAGATGAACAGGCATTTGGGACTTAATATTTACCTTTCTCTCCACACCACAGGATTCCGAGACTCACGCGAACCATCCGGCTACCGCCTCCGCCCAAGCGCGCAGTGTTCCCTCCGCCCGTGGCCAAAGTTAAGCCATAGTACGGCCGACGTCCGACTAATTCGGCGCCGGGGTTGGCGGCGGCGGCCGAACGGCCGGCTAATTTCCCAGGCGGCTCAGGGCGGGCCGGCCCGGCGGGCCGCGGCCTGTGGAGGTCCCAGGATCGGGGGGAGACCGGAAGCGGAGACGGGAGAGACGGAGAGACGGCAGCTGGCGACCCGGAGCACGACCCTGGGCCGGCGTCGCAGTCAGCCGGACCGGTCAATAGGTGGATACTGGGCTGGTCAACAGGTGGATACTGGGCGGGTCAACAGGTAGATACTGGGCGGGTCAACAGGTAGATACTGGGCGGTTCAACATGTGGACAGTCACATCAAAGGCTGTGGTCGACACACGCGACCACCGCACACTGCCTATTCTGGTTCAAATGTGACCGGACTTCAGTTCCTGACTGGCTGGAAACGGCCTGATTTTATTGCTTTCTCTTGCCGAATAAATTCACCTGACCATGTGTTATCATTCTCAAATAATTATCTTCTCTGAAATCATTTTCTCAGGCACTTGAGCTCTTTGGTGTCGGTTTCGCAAGTCAACTTGCCAGTGTGTAGGCAGCAATTTTCCAAATCATCATGGCAAGACCAGTCAGAGCAAATTATAAAGTTAACTTCGTGAGCAAACTAAAAAAGCCTGCGTCCGCCGCCGGCCCGTCAGGCACCGGGCGACACGGCGGCTGGTCGGCCGCGTGTCGTCTTTGGTCTGGCAGACAGAAAACGCAGTGCGTCTTTCACTGTATACGGAGCAACACTAAGGGAAAACAATTACCGACATCATCAGCATCATCATAATCACCATCACCATCGCCATCACCACCTCCATCTCCATCACCATCATCATCACCATCACCATCACCATCACCATCACCATCACCTCACCATCACCATCACCATCACCATCACCATCACCATCACCATCACCATCACATCACCACCTCCATCACCATCACCATCACCATCACCATCACCATCACCATCACCACCACCGCCACCGCCACCACCACCATCACCAGCATCACCACCACTACCACCACCACCACCACCACCACCACCACCATCACCACCACCACCACCATCACCATCACCATCACCATCACCATCACCATCACCATCACCACCACGATCACCACCACCATCATCATCATCATCATCATCGCATCGCACGCAGAGACCCACGGATTTGGCCTCGCGAACATGTACGCTTGGATGCCTGTTTTCGAGAGCGTCACTCGCGTATTATTGGATTGCCAGTTACGAGCTGGGCGAAGACCTCTAAACACAAAACAGTCATAAATGAACGGAAAAACGACACAACGGCGCTTTAGAGATACGATGAGCTTGGTAGGTGTCAGCCGAGATCAGGGTAAGCGAGGCATCAAACGGCGGCAACACGGACATTTCAGGCGTTGTTTTTGCAACAACGGCACGACTATCGGAATAATTGTGTTTTCCATTCATAGAGACGTTCCATCATTCGTTACAAAGTTCCATGTATGGCTTTCGTTAACGTATAACTCTTTTTAGAGGTGTTCTAGTTCCACAGGCATTTAGCGGGACGCATTTGTAAGGTTGGTTGGATAGGAGGTTTGACTTAGCCGTGAAGCCAGCGGTGTCCCATCAGAGCAGAGGACATTCTTCAGCCTGTGTTGACACAGTTCGTGAGGTGTCTGAGAGCAGTAACAGCAGAGGGCCCCGGCAGCGGTGCTCGGAGCGGGTCGTTTGGCGGCCGGGCGCCGCAGGGCCGCGTCACAAGGAGGACCGCTGGGAGCACCAGCAGCTGACGGCCAGGGTGCGCCACGCCAGGCTGGCTGGACCGGTCACATGCGGCTATAAGACGGCGCGAAGGTGCTCACAGGCATAACCACTCGTGTGGCAGGCTTAGACTCCCGGCGGGAGGTCACGTTTGCGGTGTGTTATGATAAGAACACCCATAAAAGCCGTCCAGAAACACCCGGGTTAAATCATGGGATTGGTGTCGCGAGCTTCCATACATTACGTAATCGACGGCGGTAAATGTGATAGGAGTTGAGACATAATTCCTTATAGGTACCGCACAAGAGTGTTAAAACATGAGTCGCATGAGAAGGCGGCGCAAATCAAAAGAGCAGCGTGCACACGACGCAAATCATACGCAATAAAGATATCCATATCAGCTTAGAGTAACAACGAATTGTATTGATCAGATGCAAACGTTAAGCATGGTTCGGCTGAGTGATGGTGCTTCAGCATTTGCATCCCTGATGATCTTTCCCTCACTACATTTGTTTGCGTTTTAATGCTGCTGGTCATGCCTAAAGGTTTTAGGATAGTGTGGACGGAGTAAATACATGAATCTGTTAATCGCATATCATGGTAATAAAACGGAGCATTGCATGAGCAGAAACCAATTGCAACCAAATGCAGTTAGGAGCCACGGTGTGTACGGATAGCTAGAGGTAGAGTAAATATATCACAGAAATATTGGCTGCCAGACTAATCCATAAGTGGCACAGTCAGGTGACACAAGGTCTGCCAAAACGCCCGAGATATTTTACGTGCTACCAATGAACAACGGTTGCCGCAATTTTCCTGAAGGTTTTCCTCGTCCCATACGTACACCCTCGAGGCGCACGTACTATCAATGACATCTGCGTGCTACTGATGGCCTCAGATTGCTTGCCATTATCAGAGAACACAAACAACCCGAGGCAATAAGAAAAGGGCAGGCGATGGAACAGCCGAAAACAATTACGAGCAACAGCTCGTTTGCAGTTTTCCAAGGTTTCATTACGCTGACCAATCTTTACTTATACTCGTACATGCTAGATAAATCGCGTGGCTAGGAACCCATGATATGGCTGTCTTACCTCTGAGAGATCTGAGGTCCCTCGGTGTCCACCAAACACGTAGAAAAACGTGCTCCTGTCGTCGGGGAAGAGACTGGCCGTGTGCAAGGCCGGCGCCACAAACTGCGCGTCGCTGAGCGCGCGCACCAGCTCGTCTCGCAGCCGGCGCGGCTGGCGCTGCGCGCGCGTCCAGTCCGTGTACTCGTGTCCGATCACCGACAGCAGCTCGTTCAGGTGGTAGCTGTACGAGTTCTGCACGTAAGTCCGGAGCAGCCGGTCGCGCTGCTCTGGCGTCACACCTGACGTCAGCTGGCGCTCGCCCAGCTGGTGGTCGGCGTCTGATGACGTCACGCCCGTCATCAGGCCGTACGAGGTCAGCCGATGCACGTAGGAGGCCCGGTTGGTGAAGAACTCGTCGCTGATGACGATGCCATCTAGCGACGGGCCGAATACGGGCAGAAAGCGGGGGCCGACGACAGGTGCCGCTAGCAGCGCGGCCAGTGGCTTCGCCCGTAGGCAGGGCAGTAGGGCGGTCTGCGATGGCGTGCAGTTGGTGTGGCGCGCCAGCTGGCGCGTGGCGTTCAGCGGGCCGCTTAGTAGAGCCCACGGAGCCAGTGAGGAGCCGCTCATGAGGATAACTCGATGAAACAGCAGGCCTGGAAAACAGTGTTAACTTTACCTCGATGCGGTCGAAACCAATCTGATGATGGGATGGGAGAGGGTTCGTATACCCCGGTTCAAAAAGCACTCTCATACGAAACTCACCATTTCATAAGTGCAACAGGAGATCGGATGTACTGAATCTCTTTCCGGCTCTAGCGTTTGTGATACAGCATGGAGTAAGCGTTTTTCTGTGTTTGTCTTCGGAACAACTGAAACTGAACTTGTCTGGAACAAGCACTCATCTGGACTAGGAACAAAAATGCTCGCATGATCTTCATGGTGAACGGCATAGTATCGCATTTTCTCGTAAACTGAACGGAAAACTGTAGTTGACATGTCACCGGAAGACCTGCAATATGCCATGCCATTCCCGGTCCGGCTCCTCCTCCGGTCATCAGAGAACAACAGAGGTAGCCTGATGCCATCAGGAAGGGTGAGAGGGACTCACCAAGCAGTATCGAGCCTGACGTCACCAGGAAGGGTGTAAGGGACTCAACGAGCGGTGCCGAGCCTGATGTCATCAGAAGGGGCGGGAGGGACTCACCGAGCTGTGCCGAGACTGACGTCATCAGGAGGGGCGTGGGGAGCTCACCGAGCGGCGCCGAGCCTGACGTCATCAGGAAGGACGTGAGGGACTCACCGAGCGGCGCCTAGGCTGACGTCATCAGGAAGGACATGAGGGACTCACCGAGCGGTGCCGAAGCTGACGTCATCAGGAAGGACGTGGGGGACTCACCGAGCGGCGCCGAGCCTGATGTCATCAGGAAGGACGTGAGGAACTCACCGAGCGGCGCCGAGCCTAACCTCATCAGGAAGGACGTGAGGGACTCACCGAGCGGCGCCGAGCCCAACCTCATCAGGAAGGACGTGAGGGACTCACCGAGCGGCGCCGAGCCTGACGTCATCAGGAATGGTGTAAGGGACTCAACGAGCGGTGTCGAGCCTGACCTCATCAGGAAGGACGTGAGGGACTCACCGAGCGGCGCCGAGGCTGACGTCATCAGGAAGTTGATACAGGCAGCGCCGGCGCCGTGGCCGAACACAGTCACGCTGGTCGGATCGCCGCCGAACGCGCTCACAGTCAGCCGCACGAACTCGAGCGCGGCCACGATGTCGAGCAGGCCGTAGTTGGCCACCGCCCGCACCGGCTCGAAGTTGGCGTTCAGGAAACCTGCCGGCGAGGCTGGCGATCAGACGGCTGCCCCCCCCCTCCCCCCCTTCCCCTTCAAGGCTGGTCGGAATGGCGTATTTGACCCCGGAACCAGTCTGGCCCATAACTGGTCAGACGTGTGATCGGGAGCTGACCCCGGCGCTCGTCAAAATGATGGCTTTGGCCTCAATAGCCGTCAGATCGGCGGTCATGACTCAAGTGCAGGCAATGGTGGTGGCCCAGCTTTGGCGCTGGTTCACACATCACCCAGTCTTGCAGGTCCACTCAGCTCTGATGACTCGCCGAAAGCCGGCCAGTTTAGAGCGGCAACATCGTGCCCGGCTGGTTCCGTGAAGGACCCATTGCCCAAAACGGCTGGTGCAGTCGGCGATGGAGTCGACACGCAAGCTAAACGGACTTTGATGAACGCGCTCGGTGCACACAAATATAAACTAGGCAGTTCTCGACTCAATTCCAATAGATCATATTGTCTCTTGGTGATCTTTTAGGCATGCAGGACTCTGGGGATATCTGCATGCGTATTGCAATGCTGCGACACAGCTGAACGCGTCCAAATGATCATTTCTCGACAGTTACCGCCAGGCCCAATTATGCTGGTCGGGCAAACCGATTAGTTCGTTCTGGGAATCTAGCCCAATGACGCTGATCTACCGAGCCCAGCACCTACATCCCGCCGGTCACAAAACTGTTGAGCTACTGGAGCGTGAAAGTGCACTTTAAAGTGTGCTCACAAACGCTTCCGGCTGAGAGCCCAGCGCTAATACCAGCGCTCCCTGGTGCACCGACAGAAGGCCAACAAACAAAACATAAACAAACAAGAATCGCCCCCTGATGGCTGACGGCTTCGAGTGGGATCCAGCGGCGGCCAGCTGGCGGGCGGACGCCTCGCCGGTGCGACAACAGCTGCACAAACAAGCAGCGGCATCCCAGTTTGCGGCGTAGTGTCTGGCCGCGTGATCGACTACTGGAAGCGACGGGCAGAGCACGTGCCGATCAGTGCGCCTCGGCGAACACCGGTGGCCGCGCGTCGCACGCAGACGCCGGCCGTCCGGCAGCGGACCCGCGCACAGGGGTCCGGCAGCAGATCCGCGCACAATGGCCCGGTAGCAAACCCGCGCCCAGGGGCCCCGGCGGCAGACCCGCGCACAGTGGCCCGGCAGCAAACCGCACACAGGGGCCCGGTAGCAGACCCGCGCGCAGTGGCCCGGTGGCAGACCCGCACACAGGGGCCCGGCAGCAGACCCGCACACAGGGGGCCGGTAGCAGACCCGCGCACAGGGGCCCGGCGGCAGACCCGCGCACTGCCAGTGGTGGGGCGGATCCGGAGAGACTGGCAGTGGCCAGACAGACCCGTTCACTGGCGGTGACGCGGCAGACCATGGCACCGGCAATGGCAACAAGCCTGTACAGCGACGGTTTGCGCGGCAAACTCATACACCGCGGAGGCGGCGCGTCGCCCATGACAGATCCTGTCTTGACATTGGTGGTAACAGACCCGAGAGTGTCAAAGCCGAACACCACAAACAGGTCTGACATATCACCATCACCAGAATGGCCGTCCAGTTTGCTTCCGCTCTGAACCTCTGTCCTGGAGCACATCCACTGACTTATTCGTAACAGGTCTCCATGTAGTCAACATACCAATTCCTCGTCGACCAGTTCACTTAGCATTTAATGTTCTAAACGCTAGGTGAATGTTTTGATGCAATAAGTGTCTGTCGGGCATGATATTTCAAGCGAACTGCCGTCTGCACGTCACGTTGCCATACTGTCGACGGCACGAGAAGGGGCTGGGGTGGGATGGGAGTGGTGCTTGCTGGTGTCGAGCCCGATGTGCTGGAGCAAAACGTTAAAGAGCCGGAAGGAAGCTCTACATGTGTTTCACAACGTCTTCTGGGTGATTTTGCGGGCCAGGGTTTGTCCATGGGGTTTGAAACTTACGCGAAGTGTATCTGCTGCGGCAAATACCTATCAGAGTGCATTTTGCGACACAATACGCATGCCAGGCTGATGTTGGAGCAATTTCCTATTCAGCTGCAGACTTCAGCCGCCCACCCCCAACTCGGGTTAAGGCCCTCCAACTTTGAAAGAAAAGGTGACTTAATCAGGAAAACGCCAATGTATTGGTGCATCTTTGGGGTAGGGTCCGTAAATGTTTCGCGGTTCAGTCACCTTCCTCCAGGTCACTTTGCGAAAATACGCCGGTGGCAGTGCCCTTCTTGCTCGTGAAGCTACATGAGGCTACAAACAGTGGTTGCAAAGCATGAGGGCCGGACTGAGTTGTGCCGGGCCGCTCACGTTCAAAATTGTCTCACTTCTGGAGTAAACCCACCCAGATTGGTACCTTGTTCGTAGCCGTTAAAGGGAGTTTAAGACCATCTTCCACGAAAGTAGAGATGCAGGCAAATATCAGCTAATGATGTGTGTGATGAATGGTGTGTACAACTCTAGTCATTAGGCTGGGATTTCTATCTCAGTTACATACGTCGTGATCAAACCTCTATAAGCGTTTTCAGGCTTAACGACCATTAAAGCACTCAGAAGTGCTGGGGTCCCCCTTTCTCTTTAATTAGACCCGCAAAATTTGCAAACAATCGGGTACAAAAGCCCATACATTCACTTGACTGTGTTATACAACTTACCGAAAACATTCAAGGAATCCATCGCAATTTAAGCATCCGTGGTAGATTCACTGAACTAAGAATGACTGGCGATTTAATTGGCCATTTTGAGATTGCAATGTAGATTATATTCTACACCTTCCTCGCATACACAACAGCAACCTAAGCCGCTGCCATCAGTCATTGGTGCCCATCTTGAGGGCGGCTCTGATCAATGTTATCCTTATCTCATGTTGATCCCGATTATTCTGACCTAAGGCTTTTGTAATGAAAAAATAATACCCACACCAATAAGACGTCATCCAGCACCCATGTATTCTGTTCCAATTGGTAGCCTAGAACAACGTCGCCTGATGTTGAGCGATCTCGTTTGAGCACCACCATAAATGGCTTGTCGTAAGGGAAGGTTAAGCTATTGACGAAATAACAAACAACGTTTTTTTACGACATATGCTAAGTATTTTGCATTAATTGTAACTAAAACACAATCGGCGGACATTATAATTTTAAAGATCCTGTTTGAAAGCCACAGTTATTTCTAATAAGCAAACTCTCGACCATCAGACATTTCAAAAAGAGCAAACAAAGTCTTGTACTCCCCTTAAGTGCCTGGCTCTGATTTATAGTTTATGACAGCACTACGTTGCAACTTTAGTACTCTTAGACAAAAAATGTCGCGCCAAAAAATAATGCATTGTTGAGTTCCCATATTTCACATTTTCGACATTCACATCTTTGATAACTAGATCGCGCGGCAGGGAGGTATTCTGAAACTGCTGCATTTTTAGATCAGTTGAAAATAGAGTCTGGAGAACACATTGCGTCACATTTCACTTCAATGCGTCCAATGGTGTATAACAGGAATATATTTCGACAAAAAGAACGGCACATCTCTCCCACCAACAAAGGCGATGCAGTAAAGCGGTCAGAATCGGTGCAGTGGGAGAGTGGAGTTAAAATATATAATATAATAGAATATAATAGATCATGACTTCTCAGCTACATATATTGAAGGTTGCCCGTTTCTGAATTCTCTTTGTCTCAGCTGTTTGTAGGAAAACGGACTAGTGGCATAATTAATGGGGTCAAAATATAAATCCGGTAAAATATGCCACCTTTTGCGTTATCCGCCGACGACTCCACGTGCATGACCGCCACATGTCTTCACCACTGTTTAGGGAAAAGGGCCGTTCTCTGCCCATTACTGTTCGGCGCCCCAACCCGGTGGTTCGGCCTTGTCTATTGGAGGCCTCTTTTCTGCGCGGACCTCGTCAGTCACGCGTGTTTTTATGCCAGTTTTGTGCCGTTTGATTACCCCTGGGACGAACGGCAGCGCTGGGATAATTTCCTTTTTCCTTTCGGGCATAACTCTTTTCTCGTCTCAGGTACTACCGTATAACCGGCCCCTGTCAACACAGTGTTCTCACAGTCACAGTCTGCTAAGCACTGCATGTAAAATAGGAGTGAAGATGGGATACCTTGTTATTGTTGCCGCGCGCTTTAGCAGCGGCCGGTAATGCTTAGGCTGTTCTTTGTGACGGCATTTCTCCTCCGGAACCTTCCACAGAATTCACACAATTCGCACGATGCCTATCTTTGCGCTCTGCATAGATGAGTCCACGACGGGATCATGATTATCCGATCCCTGGCTAGCAGCCCCACGTGCATTATATGCTGCGTTGCCAGTACCGCCACCGTGCTCGCGGTTGTGCTCGGGGTCGTGCTCGTTCTGCCACCGTGTTTGTCGCCGCACCGCCCTTCGGCCTTTGTGCTCACAGCAGCCGACGGTTGACTGACGATTGCGTGCTGCTCGATGTCGGCGCCACGGCTGCAAAGCACAGCGATTCGGAGTGCCCCAGCGGAGATATGTGGTGGAGCGATTCGGAGCGCCCCAGCGGAGATGTGCGGTGGGGAAGATTGCCTCTTCCCTATCGGTGCAACGTTGAAAAGTGTAAAGGAAGAAGGTCAACTGAGTGCCTTTATCCTGCCTACGTCCTCAATGACAGCTTTGGGAATGAAAGTATCACATGAACCATGTGAAGCACTAGTTGAACCTTCAACCAATGCGCTCCTCGATAACTGGCCCAAGCCCGATGGTACAATCACAAACGTTTGTTTTTTATCCGCACCCGTAGAGGTGCGCACGGTGTTGTCATGACCACGGTGGTCGCGAATTCAAGAAAGAAGCGCAGCTGCTGCTACGAAGCGTTGACACCGCAATCAAAACTAAAAAAAAAAATAATTGAAATCGACATCCTTATCGTTTTCAACGACGCCGCAATTCCACTAACCAGTACTACATTAGACGTAACTAGTCCTGAGGTTTCACAAGAATACGTTTTTGCAATATGCCCCAAAGTTGGGATACTCCCCTTAAGCGGCAACCGTGCAGACGTAAAACATTCGCGAACGTGAAGCACGAGCGGCTCATCACCGATGTCATTGTCATCAGTGCTTTATGAAGGGCTGTGCTGGTGGGGCTACATGGCGCCACCTGCCTCTCACCTTGCAGGAAGGGTGGGCATCATGGGGAATCGAACCCCACACGTCCGGTCTCACAGTCAACCCGCCTTCTCACCGACCTACCAATGCTGTCATATGTGTAGTGGCCTTGCACGCATATGCGGCATGATACCCGATCTCATCTGTCACCATACACAGCCTCAGTCACTCCGTTCAAGTCCTACCAATCGGGTCTCACGGAGGGCGGTCAAGAGGATACGCACGGGCGGCACGGGTGCATCCTAGCGGAGGGCGGCCAAGGGGGTACGCACGGGTGGCACGGGCGCACCCTAGCAACATCGCGGTGAACGATTACGCCTCGTACGAGCGGGCAGTGCGTGGGCCCGGTGGACATACAGTGGCATAACCAGTATTTCGCCCAGGCCGGGGCCAAACCGGGTCATCGGGTCAAAGCCCCTTTGGCTTTGGAAATCGGGTCCCTTTCACCCAAAGGGGTCTTTGTTGCTATCGAAGTCCGGATGTTTTGTTTTGGAGGACTTTTGAGGCTCTATAACTAGTTTCTATGCCTAGGCGGCCGTTTATTTGACGTTTTAGACACCCCTCTGGTGTTATAAGCTGATAAAGGGTAGTGGGGCCTGAGCGGGAGGAGTAATGACCCCAAATGCTTCCACCTTGGACACGCTACTGCTTACACTCACTTCAACGTGCCTGTGCCAATCCACGTGCCTGCGAAAACCACGCTGTTCATCCCAACTGACTGTAACCCATGAGGGCACGCAAATCACGCGGGCCCTTCCTGTCATCCCATTGTGGTCAGGATGAACACCCGCTCGCCTCGTAGCACGAACGACAACAGGCTGCAGAACACTAGTTGCGCGCGTATAGCAGGTGCAGGTAATGGCCCACTGAGCTCGGCACCGCAGTTTACCCTCCGAGCCGGCGCCTCCAACGGCGGATGTTAAGTGCCAGCGGGCCAATCCGTTCGCGTGCCAGGGGTCAAGACATACATGGAAGACCCATGGCCGCCCTCGCGACTGCGAGCTTGCTTTCACTTCCGGGCTCTAACCTGACCTTTAACTCTAACGGATTGAGTAACCCCGCTCTAATCATAATTCACTGTTGGTCGCCCGACATGTGCCAAAGTGAACCCGTTCTCTTTCAGCGTTAAAACTGCGAGAGCGCAGCACCAGAGGTTGAAAAGCTGCGCTAATGTGTTCACTAATGGGCACAGAGAACGGTGCGTCAGTGCGAGAAAATTACAGAGGCGACGGTGGCTCGATGTCTGACGGCGTCGGGATAATCAGGACCTGACTAGCGGTGATGCATGGACAACTGAGCTCCACATTTAACCGCGAAGACGGGTCCAATGATTCTGGTGGTTAGTGATCATGTGTGCATCACCTTTTTGAGATCGATATCCAAGTGCTGGGATTATTTTTTTTTAAATTGGTGACAGTGGCTGGAGCACTGATCCAATAAAGCACCACAATACGGGCAGCCAGGATACAATACGAAATGACAAATAATAACACCGGCGTAAGGAAATGGTCGGCGGCATCGCGACGAAAAAAACACGCTTCTGGCGCACCAACTGGCGACAAAGAGGGGAGCAGTCCACAGCTCGTGGAAGCGGGGGAGATGGCAGGGGAGCGACGTCGCAGGGTCCCTCACCGAGCAGACCGAGTCGGTAGTTGAGGGGTGACGACCACCACGGCACCGAGGCCGGCCAGCACAGACCCGTCGAAGGCGTTGCCGGTGCCGAAGTCGAACGACTCCCCATGGACGTAGACCATTACCGGATAGCGGGCTCCGGCTGGATCTCCTGAGGAGTAGAGACGACTCCGGGTAATGGAGACAGATGACGCGCTGTTCCAAGCTCACCGCCTGCGGCGCCAGCCACTCCAACCCGTACAGATTTGCGCTGACTTTGCGAAACTCAGAGTTATGGACTTCTTAAAATTCGGAAAAACCGGCCGAATTTGAAAATCCTCTCGCCCGCACGGAAAGTTTCCCGAAAGACCTCGCTCAAACTCACAACCGCGATAGGAATTTTGTGCTTCATCCGTTGCACATCGCCTGCGGCCATTTGTTTGGGGGCTGCAATGGCGCCGCGTAGTGGTCAAAGGACGCAAATTACGATTTGCATAAACATGGCGAATTTCACACAATCGATGCCGCTTTACGCATGTGCCGAGTGCAGCAAAATAGTTCAGTGCTTCCTGCGCATTGTTGATCATGCAACACTGTACAGCTTTGGACCTGGGGTTCGTCATTTCGTGCGCAAACAAAAGGATATTACAAACATCGGTGTCGCAAGTCACAAACATCACGCTAACGTCAAAAGCATTCGATAAGCGAAAGTGCCGCCTTAGTCTCAGACAGACGTGGTCAAACGACGTTGAGTCATGCATATAACGTTGGTGCTCAACAAGTTTTGGACTTGGCATTTTGCATTTGGCATTTTGCATTGAGTGTCGCGTAACTACGTTTGCAATGTGCGCAACCACTTCGTAATTCCGTGGCATAGCTTGAGGTGTAGTTTTCGGAGATACCATTGATGGGGATAGAAAAGTGGTCAGGTTAAAAGCTAAGAGAAAGGGATGCTTCTTGTGTAAGGCCTACCTCTACCATTAGCATCCGATCGTGTAATTCGAAGACAGAGTTTGAATATTTGAATTCACAGCGCGATAACCAACAGAGATATCAGTGCGGATAAACGACTTGGGACAACTCTTAAAGCGAAGTGCACGGGACCACTACGTGCTACACGTATGGAACGTGACTTATGTCCAATTCCCTGTTCAGCCTAACCTTGCGTTAATCTGCCTCTAAAGCCGCAGCAATTGACTTAAAAAATAATGCATTGCAACCTGGAAAAATGAGACCTTCTTCGTAAAAGGGACTCCCATGCAAACATCGCGAGGCCCGCTGCCGCGCAACCGGCTTTCGAAACAAGCACGAGTTATCATATCTGCGCTAAAACATATCGAATAAGCAAAGCTTATGAAAAACATCAATAGCCCGCACTCCATTCTAGCAAAATGAGCAAAACGCATCATTGTGATTATACACACTTTTGAAATATGGATATTCCTGCCCCTTAAGGAAATCATCATGGACATCTTGTCTCATTGTGTGTGCTTTCTCGCAGCGCATCGGCAACAAAGCAGATTTAACGCCCATGGTAGTTTTATCTTAAGCCTTCAACCTTTACGATTATTTTTTGTTCCTTTTTTCGGCAAGACTAGGCACCACGCGTCTGACCTGCCTCGAGTTAGTTCTTCAGACTGCCTTCAACTTAATACTAAGCACGCTATTGCCCGGTACGCGTTTTTCGCAGCACTGGTGGCAGCCACAGAAAACGCATATAATCCCGTGTCAATCCATGCTCCCTAAACTGTTCGGGTTCTCCGATTTTATAGCCAAACAATTTTCAGGCAATGCCATCCGACAATTTTCACACAATCGCCACCCATCAGTGAGCCCCATGCTGGTCGGGCCTACACAAACCGCCAGCACCAAAACACTGGCAGGATGCATCCGTACGCCTCCCGGAAGGCGAGTGGATTCATTTGTTTAGATTTGCATTTACAAATCATCATAACGCGCCTTTTATCGCCTCGCTCGTCCTTCGCCGCAAACGCCTTCCACTCGTCGTGCCACTCTGACAAATTGTGTTGGCGGATTGTGTGCAAATCATGTAAACCAGGGCCGGAGGTAGGAGAGCGGGGAAAGGCGTGCCGATGCTTATCTATGAGGATGCAGTCAGAGGTCAAGCATCCGGAACACATATTTCGAGCGTTGATTTTCGCTGCAATTAGACGGGGATCGATCTGACCACTCAGATTTCGGCATCTGTAGTCGCGACATCTTTAGTCGCGACATCTTTAGTCGCGACGTTTGTTTCCAGTGACCAAACTGATCACCGGGACTTACACTCTCTGTTGCCACAGGAAAGTTCCTGACATATCATTATTGATTCATTCAGAGGTAAGAGCGCAAACACAGCCATGTTGTAATAATGTGTGTCGGTGAGCATAAGTGACGCGTTGCGCAAAACAGATATTCGATTTCCCATAAAGGGATGCACGTACCACGCACATAAATTGCTTTATTGTCAGTGGTAGATGCAGAAGCAAGCAGTCAAGGTGAGATTTCACGACTGGTTGAGTTTTGGTTAAGGTCTTCTAGTTTGCACATCTGAAAAAATTCATCTCGGGCAGCTCGCATGCATCTCACGTAACTTTGTTAAGGTTTTGATGCACTAGATATTGTCCACGCCTCACTTTAGTTCCACATCGACCGGGTGTACCCATAGACCGTGGAAGGAACATTCAAATCAAGTGGCTCGTGATTCGCACTGATATTCTTCCGAAAAGCTGTTCTTGTAGACCCCTGTGGATGATGTCAGCTCATTTTTTAGCAAGCAAGGGAAAATTTTGCTTCTGTAAATTTACCAAGACCCGGCTTAAACTGTTTGCAATCTATTCGAGCCATGCGTGTTCGAACGTACGGGATATGCTTGCGTAGCATTATGAAAACAGCCAGAAAAAACATGACTCATTACGTCTCCACAGAAAGACAGGTTCACCCGCAACAAACCCACACTCAGCGGTCCCGCGCTTCTGCGTTGCGCCCACACTAGCGCCAGGAGCGAACGGCAGCGGTGGCGCGGGCGCCACGGTAGCTTAGCGCCGGTTGATATCACGCCGTTGTGAACTCCAGAATTAGGCTCTCCGAACCCACAGCGGCGGCCGTCCCCCGCCCTTCATCTATTTGACCATCTCGCGCTCTCATGAGTTATTCTCATGATCCCTCTATGAGATGGCTCTTTCGCAGGCCGGTCACGCGGCAATCCCCGTTGCCATGGTGACACGACCCGTCTGAGGGTCGCGACCGCCCGGCCGCGACAGCAGTGGAGCGAATCGTCAACTAAAGAGCTCTGCACCCGATCAGTCCTTCCAAACAGGCTGACTGTTAGGGCACTGAGCGCCAGGCTGATTTTCGAAACTAAATGATAAAATCTGACTTTTCGCAGCGTGGATTATAATACTCAATCATATTCTGGCAGCGTTAACGTTTGGTGTAATTTCACATGCCCGTCGCCCAAATTCAAGTCTGCTTTTTTACGGTCTTATAATGATCGAGGGGTTTATTGATATTACGTGTTTCATAGTTATGCACCTACACTTAAGGGAAAGATGTGTCAGATATATTTTCTTGACAAGTCGACTGAACTTGATGCTACAAATGGCCAAGATGCCTCTGGATTGAACACACGCTCACATTTAAACTGGTGGTCGATCTGGCTGAACGTTATAGCATCATAGTTCAGCCAAAGGACAGACCAAACTTGAAAATTGACTAGGAAACGAGCTTGCCAACATTGCCATCAATCACCCATCCCATCACATACACAGTGATGGATGTACATGCTCCGCGCAGTTTGAAGACTACGTGTTCATTCAGTGTCCGGGAGATGTGAACGAGCATTGTTGTTAGGGGTGGTAAAAGTGTGCTTTTTGTCGACGACAGAACTTTAGGAAGCGTATTCCATTATGAAAATCACGTGTGCGCTTCGAGCCCCATCTCAACCGTCATCAATCTCTCTCCCACACTTTGGGCATGTCCAAGCCCGACGAGACATGTGTGGTGTGGTGGGCGTCTTTCTCCGTGTCCCAAGAAGAACATTGCGCTGAAATTTGTCAACACCTTTACATCAGGCTGCTATTTTTTTCTGAACAACATACCCCTCCCTGACGTGGGAGGATGGTCTAATGCGACGTCGGTTTTCTGAGGCTTTCTGTGAATACCAGTCCGGTATGTCGTGCGTTCGCGCTCAAAGCTTTGGTAGCCTCTGGGACATCCACTACGCATATATTGACACTAAAAACATGCCTCTGGCGTTTCTGGTTTTGTAGCGACGCTTTTTACGAGCACTGCAAGACGACCCACGGCCGGCGGGGGGCGGGGGGGGGGGGGGGAGCGGCAAGCGAGTGCTTCGCAGACTGCGCGGAGGGCTGACACATTAAATGAAGCCATGCACCATCAATATGGGCTTAAAGCAGACAAAACTACATGTCACTAAACTTGCAATTGAACAAAGAATACGCCTTTTTATGTTCTATGCCTCTGCGCTGTTTTGATGTACGAATGTGCATTCAAATCTGAAATAGTTTCATCTCAGGTAAATTTGGTCTTGACTTGGTCTAGTGGGGTCAATTAACAACAGACCAATCGATCTCGATTAGTCTGTTCTTGAGATCTCGTTAAAGACAAAACATGTTTTTTTGCGAGGCTCTACCCTTTTTAGTCTGCATTTGCATGGGATCCCCCTTTCCCCCTCCTGGAATAAAATTGTTGGCAACCATCCTTGTTATTAATTTTACATATGCTGGTGTCATCAGCTCCATTTTAGATCATGTTGAGTTGGGCCCCTCGATGCTGGTCCCCCTCCGCCCACACAGTTCTTCTAGCTAGAAGATTACAAAATATATGAGAAAGAAACCAGCTATAACAAAAAATATGTTCTCTGGGCGTTTTTACTGACCATGATCAGTATGCTGCTAAAAATTATAAATAAAGCAAGCCAATCAAAAATAGAAGTTGCCTGTAATCTGAACCACATGGACTATATCTGTTGACAACCAAACGTAGGGAGGGAAGGTCGTGAGGCCTACAGGCTGCTATCTCCTCCCTCATCATGCATACATTATACATTATACATGCATGCATTGGCACTCATGTCATTATGCCACCTCCACACGAACTATTTTGATTTCCACTATCAATGTAGGCTGCACATAAAGTAGGCTGTCTGTCTTCACAAACTGCATTCATAGTGTACTTTGGGTTCCAATAGAACAATTTTCCCATTCAGTGTTAACAGAAGCGACAACGAAAGGTATCAAATCCGAATCCTTGCAAATGTAATGCTCATGAGTGCAAGGACACAATGTGTGTAAAAGAACACTGCAGAATGATTCACTTACAGAGCTTTCCTGTTACAGTGGGGGTGCTATCATCATCGAATACAGCCAACATTGTCCTCAAAGATAGCTAAGGGATAATCTTTCACTGAGCTCCCATGGTATTTGGACTACAAAACTATTCAAGTCTACGTGTTGTCTGCCCAGACCAGACACGAGCGCTGCTAGACGGCAACTGTATTATCCCGCGAAGCGAGCGGGCGGCGCCGACTCCGGCGGGTGGCGCCCCAGGCAGTACACCGCCATTCGGGGCCGCGGCGTACCAAAGTGCAGCAGCACTGGCGGCGCGAGCAGGGGCGGTCTCAGGGGTACGCCAGTAACATCATGATGCATCTCCCCCCTTGAGGAAATGCAAATAAATGTATAATATATAAAAAACGCTTGCGAAACGAAATTATTGGCGACAGACTGCTGCTTCCCTGCTGCTTCCCTGCTGCTGCTATGCTGCTTCTGAGGCTGCTGCTTCCCTTCTGCTTCTCGGACTGCTTCTTCTCTGCTGCTTTCCAGCTGCTTCCCACCTGCTTTCCTGCTGCTTCTCTGCTGCTTCTCTTTGATGTCTCTCAGAAAACGCGGCCACTGCGTGTTTTACGCGGACTAAAACTGAGCAGTGGCGTTGGACCTTGTGTCTGGGGCACTTGCGCGTCGCAGGGCTGGGCCGCAGCTTCTGTCAGCGGCGGCAGCGACAGCGGCGGCGCCGCTTTCGACACGGGCGACGGCACAGCTGGTGGTGGCCGTGGCACCACCGATCGTGGTGCAGGCGCCGGTTCGCGCGGCTGCGGTTGCAGCAGCGCCGGTGGCGCCACCTCAGCATGGCGGCCAGAGAGGAGGTCTGGAGCGGGCACCCTGTGTGCAGAACAGTCAGCACGCCGCGCGGAACCGTGCTGTGTCAACACCTGAAACGGAGGGATCTGCATCAGATGACGTCGGTTGCGACGATAGCGAGCACCCTTGAGCTCCACAAGGTAGCTGCGTCTAGAGAGCTTCTCTATGACGGTGGCGGGCTCGGACCAGCTTGCTTCCTTCTCCGTCTTGATCCGAACATGATCCCCGGGCTGTAGCTGCTGAAGATCGCGGGCACCGTGTCTCCGGTTGAAGCATGTCTCCAGCTTCTTCTTCCTCTGCCGATCTCGGAGTTTGGCATGCTGCCATGTCGCTTCTCCGGTTGGCTGAGCGATGGGGAGACGAGATTGAAGTTCGCGTCCCATCAGGAGACGGGCTGGGGAGTATCCGATTGCTTCCACAGGCGTCGTGCGGTAGTTGAGGAGGGCGAGGTGGGGGTCCCTCTGGCGAAGTATCCACTTGGCGGTTCTCACGGCCCGTTCAGCTGCTCCGTTGGAAGACGGCGTGTGCGGGTCTGTGATGCGGTTTGTAAAGCCGTAGGACGCTGTGAAGTTGGCGAACGAGCTTGAAGTGAACTGCGTTCCTCCGTCTGTTGTCACGAGGTCTGGTATCCCCAAGCGGGAAAACAGGCGCTTCAGACGCTCGATGACTGCGCTGCTGGTGAGACTCGGGAGGCGTTGTATCTCCAGATACCTGCTGAAGATGTCCACCGTGACGAGCCAGTTGCAGTTGTTGAAGTGGAAGACGTCTGCTGCAACGTGCGTCCACGGTCTTGATGGCGTTGGGGTTGTCACCAGTGGCTCAGCGTGCTGGGCTGGCGCGTTCACCTGACAGAACGAGCAGCTCTCGAGATGACGCTTCAGGTCGATGCTGAGTTGAGGCCACCAGATCGATTCTGCTGCCCTCTGGCGACACTTGTTCAGACCGAAGTGTCCGTCATCATGTAGTCGGGTGAGCATTTCATCTCGCAGACTCGGAGGGATGACGATGCGTCGCCCGTGCATCAGCAGTGTACCACACGTTAGGTACAGAACGCTCATCTCTCCCCGAGAGGCGAAGTAGTCCAGCAGGTCGGGATGCTTCGCTCCCTCCTTCCAGCCAGAGAGAGTCTGCTGAACTACGCGTTGTAGGGGTTCGTCTGCTTGCTGCGCCTTGCTGATCTCCACCAGACGCTGCGGTGTGGCGGGAAGATCGCTGAAGATTCTCTCACAGAATCCATGTATGTCTTCTTGAAGCACAGCGCTGATTTCATCCTGCTTCTGGAGCGGGTGACGTGAGAGGAAGTCGGGCACCAGGTGCTGCTTTCCTGGAACGAAGACCGCTGTGGGGTTGTATCGCATCAAGCGCATGAGCATGCGCTGGCATCTGATGGGCGCATCCACGAGATTTTTCGTGTTAACCAGCGGGATCAGAGGCTTGTGGTCCAGATGCAGCTCGAACGACGGCAGTCCGGACAGGAACATGTGCATTTTCTCGCACGTCCACGTCGCGGAGAGTAGTTCCTTCTCAATCTGGGCCCATCTGGTCTCTGGGTCAGTCAGGCTTCTGCTGCAGAACGCCACGGGTTTGAAGACGGAGCCGTGCTTCTGGAGAACACATCCTCTGATGCCGAAACTGCTGGCGTCGGCGCTGACCACCGTCTCTCGTGCTGGATCGTAGAACGCCAGAGCTGGAGCTGAAGTGACGGCTGCTTTCACGTCATCCAGCGCCTGCTGCTGCTGTGGTGTCCAGATATATGCTACGTTCTTCCTCAGAAGCTCGTTCAGTGGTCTTAAACACTCCTGGATGTGTGGAACGAACCTGCCCAGGAAGTTGATTACTCTGAGCAGAGACCTTAGTTCATTGACATTCTTCGGTGGTTGGAGCTGCTGGATCGCTTCGAGCTTCTCTTCGTCCATGCTGATGCCGTTCTTGCTGATCTTTATCCCCAAAAACTTGACCTCGTTCTTCCGGAACTCACACTTTTTCCTGTTCAGCTTGAGGCCAGACTCGTGGATCCTCCTGATGACGGCCTCGAGACGTGCGTCGTGGCTGGCAGCATCTCCGAACACCACGGTGTCGTCCATGTAGACGATGACTCCGGGCAGTCCGTCCAGCATCTCCTCCATCTTCCGCTGGAAGCACTCCGGTGCGAGCGAGATCCCCATCGGCAGTCGCAGGAACCTCTTCCTGCCGAACGGAGTGATGAACGTGGTCATCTTGGAGCTCGCCTCGTCCAGCGGGATCTGGTAGAAACCGGAAGAGGCGTCCAGCTTGGTGAAGAGCGTCGCGCCACTCAGCTTGGAGGTCAGCTGCTCCAGAGTAGGGATCGGGAACACCTGTCGCTTCACAGACTGGTTGAGTCTCTTGTAGTCAACCGTGATGCGGACACCGCTGCTCTTCGGCTTCGGGACGGGGACCAGCGCAGAGACCCAGTCCGTTGGCTCGGTCTCCGACGTGATGATGCCGTGATGCTCCATCTTCTTCAGCTCCTCTTCCACCGGCTTCATCAGTGGCAGCGGGATATTTCTTGCAGTGGCAAGGGCGAATGGAACAGCATCTTCACGGAGCTGAATGCTGACCGGTGCTGTCTTCAGGAGACCTGCCTCTCCGAAGACGTCTTCGTTGACTTCACCTGTGAATCTCAGTACGCCCAGGCGCGAGCAAGCAGACCTGGAGAGGAGATCATTAGCTGAGTCAACAACGTAGAACACTTCAGGCTCGGCTTTGTTCTTGAACAGGAGTGTTCCGTGCATCTTTCCTTCTACTTTTAGCACGCTACCAACACTTGTCAGAGTATTTGAAGCATGTTGAAGCGGCGGCAGTTTCAGCTTCTTGTACGTTTTCAGCGTCAGAATGCTAACATCAGCGCCAGAGTCAGCTTTGAAAGCGACTCGTTGACCATTTAGAAGGACTGAAACTCTCCATGGCGCGCAAGCTTTGTCTGCTTCGTCAACAAAAATGTTGGGCGGCGATAGTTCTTCAATGGACTCTGTCCGCGCACTCGCTCTGACACCGTTGGAGCGACAAACATACGCAAAATGATCCATTTTCTGACAGTTGTCACATATTTTTCCCTTAGCAGGACAATCTTTCGGAGACGCATGACGTGCTCTTCCACAGTATCTGCATGCTGTTGAAAAGTCGATACGCTGACTATGCTGTTGCCGTTGCGCGGTGGAAGGCTGCGGTTGACGTCTGTACTGCTGGCGCTGCTGGCGCGGCTGCCTGTGCCGCGCCGGTGCACAAACACTACTGATATCAGGCGGATCAGAGCTGTCACGGCCGTTCACGATCTCGACATTACGCATCATCGAAATGACGGTATTTGCAGACACTTCCTCCTCTAGTGACTTCAGCTGAATTCTACGGGACAGCTCCATGTCAGACATTCCTGAGATGAGACGATCTCTGATACGCTCATCAGCGTCAGCGAAGCTGCAATGCTCAGCTAGAGAGAACAAAGCTCTGATGTACAATTCATTAGTCTCGCTTGAGCTTTGAGATCTAAGCTCGAAGTTGTGACGCTCTGCAATAAAGTTCCTTTTCGGAATGAAGTACCCGTCTAGCTTTGAGGCAACAACTTCAAAATCCTCCTTCTGCTCAGCAGTAAGCTTAAATATTGGTACGATATGCTCAGCCTGCGGACCCATGCTGTAAATCAACGCAGCTACTTGAACGTCACCGTCCTCTTTGTGTAGTCCCGATGCCAGTCTGTAGCGGACGAACCGATCACGCCAGGTCGGCCACCTCTCAGGCGATGTGAAGTCGAATTCCTCAGGAGGACGAAATCCAGGCATCTCGACTTGGTTCACAACTAACACTGTTTAAATTAATGTGCTGCTTATGCTTGCTTAAGCTTACTCTAGGTTCAATGCGGCTGCGCCATATTCAAGTCCACGTGTTGTCTGCCCAGACCAGACACGAGCGCTGCTAGACGGCAACTGTATTATCCCGCGAAGCGAGCGGGCGGCGCCGACTCCGGCGGGTGGCGCCCCAGGCAGTACACCGCCATTCGGGGCCGCGGCGTACCAAAGTGCAGCAGCACTGGCGGCGCGAGCAGGGGCGGTCTCAGGGGTACGCCAGTAACATCATGATACAAAAACCGCGTCTTATTGAAGTAAACCTCTTGGTAAAGGAGAGGCCATGGAGCCTGTACAACCCCACCCCAACCCCTCCTCATTGCCGACATTGGCTACACTCACCTTGTATTGCCTTCCCATTGTTTAAATGACAACAATACATTGATGACATGTTTGCATTTCAAGCAGGGGCATAGCTTGTGAAGGCAAGCTTGGGGGAAAAGTGAACAAATATGCAGTCGCCCCAAAAATATGTATGCCTCCTAGATTGGCGTAATTCTTCACTTACTTTGAGGATGGATGGAGCCCTGAACTGAAAGGAAACTTCGCACACCCCTGATTTGTAGATACATGGGACTGGTAATCATTATCAGGACAGGGGCAAAAATGGTATTAACTGACACTTCAGAATCATTCTCACCTCCCGAGGCAGGTACTCATGGCATGTAATGTGAATCTCGCATGCAAAGTCGCAGCGCAATGAACGTCGCCGCCCGCCCGATGCTAGTGACATCGCAACGATTAAAACATGACCTTGTGGCCAGAAGAATCCCCATATCTAGGTCTTTTCAACATTTTATACTGTCTAGTCTGGGAAACGGAGAGCCGTCGGGTAAAAACAGCAAATCGGCCGACCGTCCGAGCCAGAGAAAATACGCTGATCTGTCGCTGATCCATCACCAAGTCGAGCGACCAACTACAAATCAAAGGATATATTTGTCGCCGAGATGGGATGAAACCAAAACATATGCCATGTTGCCGTGTGGTAAGATAAAGGGTCTTTACTGAAAGCTTTGCTTGTGCTGAGGGACGAAATGTAGTATCCTGGAGACAAACTATCTGTGTGTGGAGACCTCATGTCACGTTGTACAGTGTGCGCTGTATGATTTTATCGTGGCTGTCACCAAAATTTCCGGTCGAAAGCACGTGCGACAATAAGCTTCGCGTGACAACATACACTTTCATCGCCCACCTCATCAATCAGGCCGGCAAGTTTTACCATCCCTGATTCTCCCTCCGACACTTAAGGACGTATATGACGTTGAAGGCGCCTTTCATCGGTATATGACGTTGAAGGTGCCTTGCATCCGTATTCGACGCTGAAAGCGCCTTGCATCGGTAAATGACGTTGAAGGCGCCTCACATTGGTATATGATATCAAAATAGAACATCCTGAAGGGAATGAAACGGATTAAACGAATGCCAGCTGTATGAAAGCATACCGTCAGGGCTCGTAAAGAAATTCAACCCTCGTCCTGATAGGGGAGGGGGCATCAACTCGCACCCTAAGATCTTTAGAAGATAACTCTCCAACATGCCATGCAGGCACGACCGATTTTTCAGTACATTTTGGGCATCTCTTGCGCGTGCCTTAACACCATAAACGTATTCCTAGTTTTCTAGTTTCTGAAAAGGAAAAATCTGAAGTTTTTTAGGAACACTGCACGGTGATCCACGACCGGCACAGGCAGCGGCAGGCAGCCGATGATTCCGCGGACCGCGTGCAGCCGACACCGTTATTGACCGAGTTCATACACGGGGTTGTGAGCCTCTTAAGTCGGTTGGAGGGAGGGGGGATGAGCTAATACAGCTAACCTAACAAACCCATTGATCCTAAAGTGTTTTAAAAATCCTGAACGTACCAGGCTTCAATATCTATATAGGGAGGTCTCATGTTAGATTGTGCATTGTGCACTGTATTATTTTTTCGTGGTCTTTACCAACATTTTCCGTCAAAAATGTTTTGAGCAACAAACTTTGCGTGAAAATATAAGATTTCTCACCAACTTTACCCACCAAGTCCACCGTTCTACGAGCCGATTTTTGTACAGTGAATTTATTAGCACGCGCCCGAGTGGCCGATTAGATACCCTTCACTCGGGTGGGGAGGTCAACCCAAACCCCAGAGACCTCAGGAACTGAGGGAGCTAGAGACACCTAATTCACAGGGTGTGTTGACTCGTACGTGAACTCATCTAGGTCAAGATTTGAGGCTCCTAGGTCATGACCTGGTCAAATAAGATCAAGCAAGGGCAATTTCCAGGTTGGTCTTCAAAGTGCCTCCCAGAACCCAGATACCTGTTTAAAGCAAAGGCTCAAACGCTCATTCAAGGTAAGTGACCCTGTTTAACTATTTGAAAGTCATGTTGACCAAAATTATACAATACTGCTTTGAGTTTTGCAGTTGAATAAGCGACTAAGATTACGCTAGGCAGTATGTTCCTAAAAACAACATGTTGACTTGAGTCATTTGAGGTCAGTGACCTATTATGATCTTTAAGAAATCCGTGGAAGGTGTATAATGCGACTCCTGTTGTCAATGAATTTGAAATGAGCACCAGAAACTATCCCATACAGCAAGCCCTAGGGCAATAGCACAGTTTGGATTTGACCTTGGCCCGATCTTCATACCTGACGCTAGGTCTATACAACTTGTTTATTCAGTTGTTGTGTTGCCTAAGAACGTATCTCAGAGATGTGTGGCCTCGTCTAACACTCCGTTCTTGTAATTGATTTAACGACTCCCCAAAAGTTTACTTCGCTGAAACCATGGCCTGATTTTGACCTGCCATAGGTTAGTGACCTTACAATGTGCATCTCATTTTTTTATTTCAGAGATCCGCTATTTAATTATCTATAGCTATGCAAAATTCGGCGTCGCCAACTTGCGCTGTTCGAAAACATTCCGGAAAAGCCTTTCGAGGGGTCAGTTTTACCCCACCGGAGCGCGTGTTAGGTGAAGCTGTACTAAGTGTATCGTCACTTCGAGATGATCGTGAAAGAGCGCGTGAAAACTGCTCAAATTGAGCAAAATGAATCAATAAATAGAGAAATAAGAATAAGGCAGTGGTGTAAAGATTATTAAGCAGCATTAAGTATTTAAAAAAAGCGTGAGAGCACAAATATCACCTGAACAGACTCCAAAGGTATTGAAATAAACTTCGCATCAGTTGAAGCGAAATAGGTGCATATTGAACGGAAGAGCACAGCCTGAAAGTCTTGCACTTGCTGGAAGCCGTTTGATATCCCTCACCTGCGAGAGCCTCAGACGCCACTGCATGCTGAGCGTTTGCATGCATTTTGCGCGTTTGCATTTTCAGCCACACTGTGCGTTTGGGTGCCCACTCACATACGTTTGTCGTAGAAATGCTTTCGAAAGGGGGATCACTCTTGTGATCTGTTGCAACATGTCTTGCGGCATGTTGATTCCATCCTTTAAAATGTGAATGCGTAGCTGGTCCTCAAAAGTGAACTATATCGCAGGCCTCACATGGTAGATCTTCACAGGAATAGTTCCTTACTGCCAGGATTGCCATATCTTCTGTAGATCAAAGCAGGTAGCAATTCATGCATTCTGACTAACGCCATCTGTCGTACATACAGGGCTCGAATCGCATGAATCATTGTAAGTGGTGCAGGTGACATGCATTGATGGTTCGCTATCTGCTCACTATTCCATGTGCCAAGGGTAATATGATGTCGTTTCCCCACCTCCCAAAAATGCATACTCGCGTGAATACCTGAATTGGAATATTCTGGCCTCGTTGACTTGGCTTTGTTTGCCAAAGCTCACTTGCTGCAATGTTCGATGACAACAATTTCGAGCGTGCGTTGTTAGAAGATATTGGCCTTTGCCATGGGGCGAGTTTAAAGTGGTGGAGATGTGGTGCGGCCGGCCATTTAATTCATGCTGCAAGTGTCAGAGCGGCTATTTTTCAGGGGTCAGTGCGTCTTGTAAACGTGCATCTTGATGATAAATGAGGGCTGCCTTTACCAAGCGGATCAGCTGCCTCATTCTCAGAAATGTCAGCGCCGCCGGGTGTCCAATGCATTACAATCCGTCTTAGCGGTGTGCGACATGTGATTGTGCTCCGTATAGCGATTTGCAGCATGATACAATGCTTCAGCCTGGTGTCTGAGAAGAGCCCATGGCGGTCACTGCCGAAAATCTCAGCAGACCATCGACTTTATTTTTGGAGGTTCTAATGTGAAAACATATGACTGTTAAACGCCTGTCCCCACCAAGGGTGAGTGGGAAAAAGTGGTTTAGTTTATGATTTTAATAAATGAAATACGAAAATATGATAGTGCTAGTCATGTGGAGCCCAATGGATAGTTCGTCCGCGCCGGTGGATCAGTTGGTTA